ACGTTCACCAGTCAAACCAAGTAAAACCCTCCTCCTTCCTCTTTGTGTGTCACTCGTACTCTCGTGGTTTTCTCTCACAAAGTTAACAGGAAATATACTTATACATGTTTCTCAGTGGAAAACTGACCAGGTTGTGCAGAGCCACAGTGGTGACACTTACTGAGAGAAAAATCACATCTTTTGCCAATTTAGTCTTTTATAGACAGCATGTATTAACTTGGTATTTGTATATAATTTACCAAACAAATATACTTATGTATACAAACATATGATCATGTGGCAATAAATAAAGGACATCATCATTCAACCTCACCCCTGTTTTCTGGCATGGCTGCAGAACATTGACTTTGAAGCCAAAAGATTAACAAGAACCGCAGGCCTGTAAAATTACTGACAATACTCACAAATGAAAGCAAACATTGCAGAAACTTGGAAACGAAATGCTATTCCACCAATTTCAAAGAATCTCGATGAATCTGGCAAGAAAACATGTAGGAAGGCCCTCAGTGATGCCAGAGCAGCGTATTACTCCACATTAATAGCAGAAAATAAGAACAACCCCAAGTTCCTTTTCAGCACTGTAGCCAGACTAACAGAAAGTCACAGCTCTGTTGAACCATGTATTCCTAAAGCCATCATTAGTAACGACTTCATGAGCTTCTTTAATCATAAAATTTAAATTACTAGAGACAAAATTCAGCAAGACCTGCCCTCAACTAGCAACAACTTATCTCCAAAATCAGGAACCTCAGAAACAGCTGTAAAACCAGATATATGTTTAGACTGCTTTGTTTCCCTCCATCTTTACCAGCTAACTTCAAAAATGTCTAAAGCATCAACCTGTCTTTTAAGTCCCCATCCCAACTAGACTGCTTAAAGAAGTTTTACCCTTATTCAGCACTTCTTTATTAGATATGATCAAACTGTTTTTATTAGCAGGCTATGTGCCACAGAGAGTGACTGAGTCCAAACAAATCCATAAAGAAACAAAATCAAAACAGCCAATCAAAATCAAAAGAAGGCAAAAGTGCAACAAAGATCCACAAACAAAACAAGCAAGATTAAAAACTGGAACACATTTGAAAGAGCACAACAAGCTACAAGGATCCGACAAAAGGGAACAAGCAAACCTACCATTATATAGAGGGGGCAGGGTAACTGTAACACAGGTGAGACACATGGGACTAATAAGACTGAACAGGAAACAAAGCTAGACAAAGACACCAGACACAGACAACTCCAAAACAAACCAGGAAGTAAAACTCACAAAGACGCACAAGGGCGACTTAAATAAAACAGAGCACAGAAACAAACGAAAAACTGACAAAAAACAAGAACACAGGAGGCGGGGAGTGATAAACACAGGAGGAAATGGCAGAAACACAACAAAGATGAACAAATAAAAAGCCAAATGTCGCGGTGACAGCCTGGCTGTTGGTGAGTGTCCTGTTTCTCCTTTCCCTCGCATTCTGGTTTCTCCTGTGCCTTCTCTTTCCCTCTCTAGCCCGGCTGGCTACCCACACCTGCACCTCGTTAACCTCCATCCCCTGTCGCCGCACCTGCCAGCCATCAGCCTCATCACAACCAGTATTTCTACCCCGGCTTTCCACTCCATCCTCGCTCGATCGTCGCAGCTCCTGACTTGGTGTCACCGCTTCGGTCTGGCTCTTTTGAAATTTCCCTTTGCTTCACGTCCCAGTTACCTACTAACCCTGTCTGTCTGTTTCCTCCTGCCAGGTTCACTCACCTCTGCCTCCCAGTTCGGCCAGCCGGGCTTGCACGCCAGCCTCCTCCTCTCGCCGCCTCCACGACGCCCTCCGTCTTCCCCCCTTGCACCCCGCCGGGTCCCCAGTCACTGCGTCCTCTCCTCCCCGTCTGCCAGCCTGCCTCGAACCTCCAGCCTAAGCACCTTCCGCTCCTCCAGCTACTCGGTCCCCCGCGTCCTCGTCTGCCTCTCCCCCTCTTTCCTCCCGTCCCTCCTCGTCCCCCTTTTTCTTCAATAAACCTCCTTTTCAAACCCTCAGCGTTGCGTTTGGGTCCGTTCTGTCTACCGTTACACCAAACCCAAAAACATGATACATCCTCTGTATAACTTGTAACTTAGCATGACACAGAGACTGAGGTTTGGTCAATTTTGTGAAGTTTATTGAAAACTTTTAAAGTAAACATATCACCCTGTTTTAAAACATCTAAACCAAACAAGCAAGAGTAACAACAAAACTCAAACCAGAACCTGAACCTGAGCTTTCATTTGGACCAAAAACATGTCGACAGCTTTGTCCATTTGTCCAGGGGTCTGTATCATGAATCAAGTTCACCACAGTCAGTCTTTCTCTGAGTGATAAAGCTTCACTAAAACTGACAGAGTTAATCCTGATAATGATCTGGGTCCTCTGCTGTTTGTGATATGAGGTTTATTTGCTGATGACTCAAACATTTTAGCTTCATTAAGAACCAGAACACACTGAACACACTGGATCAGCTCAGAAGTGATGCTCTGTGGTGACATCATCATAGTCATCATCCAATCCCTCCTCAGCCTGGGTAGACGGGGTCATCACCATAGAGACTGGCAGGTCATGTCCTGCACTCAGAGCAGGTTAGAAAGAAAATTTACTTAATTTATCTTCATCTAACTGTCAATCACTGATGTCATTGATGGTGGTGGTGATGGTGCAGTGGATAAGACAAATGGCTTTGGTGTGAGAGACCTGGGTTCAATTCCACCAATGTGCCCCTGAGCATGGAACTTAACTCCTAGTTGCTCCATAGGTGTGCGACATCTGACATGTATACAGTAGTAATTGTAAGTTGCTTTGGATAAAATTCTCTGGTAAATGTATTGATTGATTTTATGAATTGACTTATTGTAAGACCGGTGAATGATTCAGTGTTACCTGTGGCCCTGTGTCGATATAAAGACACCATGAGGACAGTGGAGATGCAGTACGGACAGAAGACCACCAGGTGGCAGATCAGTCTAAACACAAGCTGGAAGGGGGCTGAGGCAGGTGGTGTTGGAGGAGGCGGGGTTGTCGGGGTGGGCAGAACTGCAGATGTGGGCAGAGCTGAGGTTGTAGGTTTACCTGTAGAGAGAATCCCACCTGATCAGATGAATCTATGGATGAAATAAGTCCTGAAATCAAAGGTAACCTCCTCACCTGTGACAGAGATCCAGCTGGATGGAGACTCTCCACGACCGCTGATGTTACACTTGTAGAGGCCTTCATCAGACTTGTTAACATGGTGGATGGTCATGTGACCTGTAGGCTCAGTCCTGATGAGGGAGCCATCTTTATAGAAACCAGCTCGGAGGTTGGAAGTAGGGGTCTTTGTTTTACAGTGCAGAGTGACATCATGTCCCTCCATCACAGGGAGGACAGGACTCTGCAGGATCACTGGTCCACCTCAACACAGAGACAAACTACAGCATTTCATCATTTACACACAGCTTCATCAACACTAACTCCACAGTCTGATCTTACCAGTGACAGTGATGTTGATGGTGTTACTGGTTGCTCCCTCTCTGGACTCACACCAGTAAACTCCACTGTCCAATGGGTTAATGTAGCTGATGTAACAGGAAGAACCAGCTGGTTCTCCTCCCCAGTCGTCACACTGAGTCCTGGTTCCTCTGGTTGTGTTCCTCCTCAGCGTCCATCCAGCAGAGCTGTCGTCCTCCTCACAGCTCAGAGAGACAGACTCTCCTTCAAACAGCTGAGAGCTGCTGGGACTCACAGTCAGAGAGGCTGGAGGAAGAGACAGAAAGATGTGGTTAGAGAGATCATTTGCATTAATTTTCTCCACATCCCTCATATTCCTACTTTCTCACTTCTTCACTGCTGAACTGATCTCTGAGTTTCAGTCGCTGATTTTCAGAGAAGAAATTTGAATCAAACTCAGATATGAGCTGATAGACAAATGTTTTCTGCCTGTTTTCAAATTTAATTCTCAAGGTTGGTGTTAAACATCAGAAGATCTGGCTACATGTGTCGCATATAAATATCCTGTCTTCTCTGGTAGCCGCTTCATCATGCTGTGCAGTCCTGGTTTCTGAATTACATTTTTATTTTCTCCAGTACTGGAGCCAAAGCTAAAACTGCTGGTATAAAAATCAGCCTGTTCTCATGCTCAGGTGTCACGCATTTACATGCTTTGAACAAGCCATGTCTATTGTATGCAAAACAGCGATTTTGTATGTATAGTAGACGCCCCCAGGAACGTGTGGGTGAGACGCATCCAAGCCGAGTGTGTATGTGACGCCCCGGGGTCACTAGCTAGCTAGTGATGTTTTTGTTTAAGGAGTTGACAGCCCCCCCCCCCCCTTGAGGCAACTTCGCTAACCTTAACCATAGCATAAGCTAGTGCCTAGCCCAAGTCAGTAAATATATGCATGTCGACCGGCAGTTGTGCACAGCTGTAGGGTTAGCCTCCTTTGTGTTGCAACACTATTGCAAACTGCAGCATATCATATACACGCAAAATCGATGTTTTGCATACAATAGACATGGCTTTTCCAAAGCGTGTATATGTGACGCATGAGATGAGATCGGGTTGATAAAAATTTAAATGTCAAAACTGCATTCAGTGTTTTATTGTATTTGTAAAGTGGCTGTTTCCCTCCCCAAACACTGTCCTAAACATTAACTGTTCTATCAGGGAGAGAATAACTTCAGCTGTGACGGAAGAAGTTTGCTCACCTTGGTTTGCAGATGTGGGCGGGGCTGAGGTTGTAGGTTTACCTGTAAAGAGAATCCACCTGATCAGATGAATCTGTGGATGAAATAAGTCCTGAAATCAAAGGTAACCTCCTCACCTGTGACAGAGATCCAGCTGGATGGAGACTCTCCACGACCTCTGATGTTACACTTGTAGAGGCCTTCATCAGACTTGTTAACATGGTGGATGGTCATGTGACCTGTAGGCTCAGTCCTGATGAGGGAGCCATCTTTATAGAAACCAGCTGGGAGGTTGGAGGGAGGGGTCTTGTTTTACAGTGCAGAGTGACATCATGTCCCTCCATCACAGGGAGGACAGGACTCTGCAGGATCACTGGTCCACCTCAACACAGAGACAAACTACAGCATTTCATCATTTACACACAGCTTCATCAACACTAACTCCACAGTCTGATCTTACCAGTGACAGTGATGTTGATGGTGTTACTGGTTGCTCCCTCTCTGGACTCACACCAGTAAACTCCACTGTCCCATGCAGCGATGTAGCTGATGTCACAGGAAGAACCAGCTGGTTCTCCTCCCCAGTCGTCACACTGAGTCCTGGTTCCTCTGGTTGTGTTCCTCCTCAGCGTCCATCCAGCAGAGCTGTCGTCCTCCTCACAGCTCAGAGAGACAAACTGTCCTTCAAACAGCTGAGAGCTGCTGGGACTCACAGTCAGAGAGGCTGGAGGAAGAGACAGAAAGATGTGGTTAGAGAGAACATTTGCATTAATTTTCTCCACATTCCTCATATTCCTACTTTCTCACTTCTTCCCTGCTGAACTGATCTCTGTGTTTCAGTCGCTGAGTTTCAGAGAAGAAATCCGAATCCCACTGATTTGATTTTCCCAAATGTTTTCTGCATACTTATAACGTTGGTTGAGGCTACATGAGTTTTTTTATTCATTATCTCTTAGCCACTCAGTGTTGCAGTCTGGACAGCTTTGGCAGTGACAGAAGAAGTTTGCTCACCTTGGTTTGTTGTGCAGCTCAGCAGTGAGGTCAGAACTAAAGAGAAAACACACTCAGGTTGGTTTGAGGTTTTACATGAAACAAGACATCTGTGCTTTCTACAAAACAGAACAACAGCCACACATTGATATTAGCTTTGGAAATAACAAATTGTATTTTATTAAGGAGACATACAATTTTTATTTAGTTCAATTTCCCCAAACAGAGCAGTCAGGACATGGAACCTTCAAGGAAGACGCAGCAGGAGTGAAAGATGGCGTTGGGGCCTCTCCTACGCATTATCTACTTTGTTCCAGAGAGTTGGATAGCTGAGCTGAAGCCTGTTTCCCTTGTGTGTAGGGTGGATAGATGGATTTTAGGATAGTTAAAGACAGCCTCAGAAGAGACCTCCATTTCCTGTTTTGCCTCTGTGTGGCACATTACAATTAAAGACTTAATAGTTACTGGTCTAGTTGCTTGTCTTGAGTGGATTTTGAGTTGTTTTTAGTTTTGCACGTTTAGTTATTTAGTTTATTTGCTTTTATATTTGGTTGTTGTGTTTATTCTTATATAAAGACAAGCTTAGCCGAGTTAGCCAAAGGACTGATCCAAGCACTGTGAAGCGTACAATTTACTTGACTCCTTGACTGCTGTCACCACTCGGTCATTTAAGGTTACTGTTTCTCACCATCAGGCGGCCAGAAGGAGGACTGAGAGCTTGGAGGAGCTCAGCAGGTGGAACAAAGCGTACTGGAGGATTCTGGAAACACACTGAGCAGCTTTGGCCCCGGAGTATTTGCCACTGTCAATTTTATAAACAATTAAGGTGCCAATAAATGAATAAACCCTGTTTTAACTTGTTTGTTTTTGTGTATTTTTCCTTTGTTAAATTCTTAATAATTGTGTTTTAAATAGTCATCCTCTGGTCCGAGCTTGGCATGTGTGTGCTTTTCTCTTCTGTAGCACTTCAGGATAGTAAATACCTTTCTGTATAAAACTTTTCTACATGCTTTCAACCTCTTTCTTCTATTTTATGATATACTGTAGGAATAACTACTGTTAACAATTGCAATGAACACTTGCTGTAATGTTTGTGTTGCTTTTTGCTGTCATATTATCAAACAACACTGAAATTCCTGCTCTGTTGTCGCAGTTAACATGTACACGATCTGTTTGGCTGATTTCTGTCTTTGTATTCATGTTGTTCACTCTATAACTCGCTGTTGCTTTCAAAATCACCAGAAATGTTTTGGACCTAATCTTTGAGACAACGTGGAGACAAACATTCACACATTAAGTAGATTCTTGCTTACCTAGCAGCCACGGTAAAGATGATTTCTCCATTTTAACTCTCGGCCATCTGAGATCAACACATTAACGTTCACCAGTCACACCAAGTAAAACCCTCCTCCTTCCTCTTTGTGTGTCACTCGTTCTCTTGTGGTTTTCTCACATAGTTAACAGGAAATAAAGTTTATGTTGAGGCTCAAATTGAAAAACCGACCAGGTTGTGCAGAGGCACAGTGGTGACACTTACTGAGAGACAAATCACATCTTTTGCCAATTTAGTCTTTTATAGACAGCATGTATTAACTTGGTATTTGTATATAATTTACCAAACAAATATACATCTATAAACATATGATGAACAACATATGATCATGTGGCAATAAATAAAGGACAATTGAAAAATAGAGACATGTGGTTCCCCTTCGAGGGAACTCGAACTGCGTCGGTTACGACACTATGGGAACGCCTCTAGGCGAAGCAGGTCTGAACGTGAATGAAATCACTCCAATCCTATTGGCTTGTTGCTAGAACGGTAAGGTGTGACAGAATAACCGGAGGAGTATAAAGCACACCTGTACACACTCATCATTAGCTTTTTTCTATTCAGCAGGCTCTGTATGTTGTTTTAAGAAAGCTCCAGTCCTACAAGCAGTGTGTCTTACCTGAAGAAGAAGTCTACCAGCATGTCCGGCAACCAGATGTACAGAAGGTGTGTTTTTTCTTGCCCTCGGTACATCACGGATGGAGATTCTCATGAGATGTGTGTCTCATGTTTGGGGAAGGAGCACGCACGGGCAGCTCTCGAGGGGGCTGCCTGCGCCCGTTGCGAAGCCCTTTCCATGCGGGTACTGAGGTACAGCATGGCTCTCTTTCCGAGGATGGCCGGATGTGTTTTCCCCGTGGCGCGGGCCCTGCGGCCGCTGAGGCAGCCCGGCAGCTTCACTCATGGGTTCACAGCGTGATCTGTCGGAGGATTTCGGGACGGCTGAGGCTTTTTCCCGACCTTCATCCGCTGGCTGCGACGCTTCCTTTCCTCGTTCGGGAGCCCGTTCTCGGCTTCTCCCGCTCGCGGTTTGGATCCGGAGACGCTGCAGCAATCCGACTCCGAGGAGGCGGACGTGCTCAGCGCAGTGGACGATGACTTCCGGGTGTCGGGGCGGCGTCATCTGGCCGCGCCCGACTATGACGTGCTGCTGGAGGTGGTGACTAGAGCCGTGGCCAAGCTCAACATCAACTGGCCGAAAAAAACCAAAACAAAAAGAGAACAGAGGAGCAGACACCACAGGCTAGTGGTAGCTTGATGAAAGGTTTCTTAAGCACCACACGCCACCTCCACGCCGGTCTCTGCCATTCATTCCTGAAAAGAAATTACATGATGAACTGATTAATCATGGGGCAGACCCTTCTCTACATGGCTTTCCACACCCCGATCACTGAACTACAGTAATGTGATGGGGGTTAGGGACCGTGGTTATGGGAGGATGCCTCGGGTGAAGGATGAGCTTGCGAGCTATCTCTCCCCTCGACTTGCGTCCTCCCTGGAGAAGCCGGCGTTACCATCCAAACCATGTCGCACCACATCCACGCTCGTGGGGAAGGCGTACATGGCAGCGGGCCAGGCAGGTGCGAGCTTGCACACCACGGTGCTTCAAGCCTACCAAGCCAACCTGCTACAGGAGATGGTTCAGAGGGGGGGTCCCTCCGAGGAAGATCTGGCGGAGCTTCGCAGAACCACGAAGCGTTAGACGCAGTGCGAAGCGTTCCGCCAGTACCTCCCTTGCCAGTCTGGACCCAAGGCAGCTGAGGCTGCCAGGCGTAGGTCCCTTCCCTCTACGAGCTCCTACGGAGAGGAGAGGAAGCAGAGTGTCGCTTCTCGGGGGCCCCCCGAGGAGCTGGGGCAGCGAGACGGCGCTCTCACCCTCAGCCGTCTGAGAGACGCGATCTGAGGACCGTCATCCAGTCCCGACGGAGCTCAGGGAAGACCGGGGTAGGGGAGTCTTTCTCCCCTCCCGCACCCCCCCCCCCCCCCCCCCGGAGGCCGACCGAGGTCCCCTCCGCCGTGGCAACAGGTGATGTTATCCCGCCGTTTACACGTTCAGGACGCACCTGCCACCATCGAGTCCGCGCCGTACTGCCTGCCCCGAGGGTCTGCAGGCGGACGGAATCCCGACTCACTCACCGTGGATCTTCGGCGGCTCCCCCCTGCCGTTCTGGGGCTTCAGGGGTCCACCAGAAGATCACACGAGACACCGACCACCAGCCCCGAGGGGCTGGTTCCGTTGGCAGACTTTGCAGACGCTTGGCGGAGTCTGACGAACATTTCTCCGCGGGTCCTGCGCACTGCCATAGATGGGTATCGACTACAGTTCAAAACCCGCCCTCCAAATTCAACAGAAGAGAGGGGGTGGTTTGGACTGTGGTCCGCCCGGAGCAAGGTCCGGTGTTGGGACAGGAAGTTTGTACTCTGCTGAGGAAAGGGGCCGTGGAACGTGTCTCCCCCCCAGACAGAGACGCCGGTTCTACAGCCGGTACTTCATAGTCCCCAAGAAGGACGGAGGGCTGCGTGCCCTATTTTGGATCTGCGGGTTCTAACCGGTCTCTGAGGAGATTCAGGTTAAAGATGCTCATCATCCCCGCCACCGTGACGCACATCCAATCTGAGGATTGGTTCGTCACGATAGATCTAAAGGACGCCTATTTCCAGGTCTCCATCCGTCCTTCTCACAGGAAGTTCCTGAGGTTTGCCTTCGGGGGTGTGGCTTACCAGTATCGGGTTCTTCCATTCGGCCTGGCACTTTCCCCTCGCACATTCACCAAGTGTATGGATGCAGCACTGGCCCCGCTGAGGCTCCGGGGCATCCGGATTTCAACTTCATCGACGACTGGCTCATCCTAGCCCAGTCTCGAGAGTTGGCGGTTCGGCATCGAGATGTCGTTCTGGCTCGTCTGCGGCGTTTAGAGCTGAGGCTCAACGCAAAGAAGAGCGTGCTGGCGCCCACCCTACGAGCTACGTTCCTAGGGGTTGCATGGGATTCGACAACGATGCGGGCACAATTGTCTCCGGCACGTGTCGACACCATATTGGCTGCCGTGAAAGGGGTGAAGTTAGGCCTCGCCATCACTATGAAACACTTTCAACGAGTGTTGGGTCTCCTGGCGGCTGCGTCCAGCGTAATACCATCTGGACTGCTGCACATGAGACCCCTGCAGTGGTGGCTAAGGAACAAGGGTTTTTCCCCGAGGGGAATCCTCTCCGTCTGGTTTGGGTTACGCGCAAGTGTCTTCGTTCCCTATCAGTTTGGAAGGAAACTTGGTTCCTGTCCCAGGGGCCCGTGCTGGGAGGGTCTTGTCGCCGGCTGGTTCTTTCGACAGACGCCTCCCTCACGGGCTGGGGCGCGGTCATGGACGGCCGCTTTGCAAGGGGATCCTGGCAGGTGCATCGATCCGAGTGGCATATCAACTGTCTTGAGATGTTGGCGGTGTTCCAGGCTCTAAGGAGTTTCCTGCCCGATCTCCAAGGCCACCACGTCCTGGTTCGTTCCGAGGACAACAACACAGCGGTGGTGACCTATCTGAATCACCAGGGTGGTCTGCGCTCGCGCCCTCTGGACAGACTGGCGCGTCAGATCCTCCTGTGGTCCCAGCAGACGTTACTATCGCTCAGGGCGATGTATCTCCCGGGGACGCAGAATCAGGGAGCAGACCTGCTGTTGAGGCAGGGGCTGAGGCCCGGGGAATGGAGTCTTCACCCCGAAGTGGTGGAGCTCTTGTGCGAAGAGTTCGGCCCCATAGACGTGGATCTGTTTGCGTCTCAAGAGACTACGCACTGCCCGCTATGGTTTCTCTCGTTCCTCCAGCCCCGTTGGGTCTGGACTCCATGGT